CTCATGTTGGGTGCACAGAAAGATTTACGATTGTTACATCTTCTTGTTGAATCGTCCCCTGAATATCTAACGTCCTTCTTTGTCTCTTGTTACGGCCTGTTTCCAAGTCTATTTTGTCCAATGTAAGTATTGCTACCCCGGCTTTCTTTTCACATCCATTTGCAGGATAAATGCTTCTCCATCCCGTCACTTTGAATCTGCACACATGTTCAGATCTGAAATGAGTCTCCTGGAGGAAGCATACAGATGGGTCTTGTTTTCTTATCCGTTCCGTCACCCTATGTCTTTTGATTGGAAGCTTTAGTCCATTTACATGCAAAGAATTATTGACAGGTATGTACATATTTATTGCCATTTTGTTACTTTATGGCTGTATTTGTAGTTCTTCCTTTCTTGTTCTCTCACTATAAATGGGCTTTCTTTAGAGACAGATTTGGATTCCTTCCCCTTTATTTTTTGCACATCTGCTGGGTTCTGACTTGCGGTTACCATTAGGTTTGTGTGTAACACCTTTTGCATATAACCATCTATGGGAAGTTGATGGCTGCTTCCGTTTGAACGCCTTCTAAAGCACTAAATATTTACCCCCTTCTCCCCCATGTTTTAGGCACGTGCGGTCATGCTCTCCATCCTTTGATCTTGTGAATCCCTTGAACGATTTTTATAGGTATCGCTAATTTTACTGCCTTTGTGCTTCCTCTGTTCCCTACTCCTGTGCGTCGGTCCTCTGCGACAGGGAACTTGCCCCCGCCCCCGGGACTAAGGCCAGCGGGGTTGGAGGGGGAGGATCCTCAAAGTGCGCGAGCTGGGGGAGATGTGGTCTTAGGAAGGTTTGCGCTGGTCTCCTGGGGAAGGGGACTCAGCGCAGGACTGAGGCAGTGGCATACCGCGGAAACAAGTTCCTTCGGTAGTAAATGTCCCTACACTGGTTCCTACAGGTGGCCTTGGGTTTATGCTGGAAGGCGGGGGAGGCAGCTCCTTTGTTCCTGGGGGAGTCTCCCTAGGATCTCTGCCCCTCCAGACATGCTCGGAGATTAGTAAATAACTCTCCCTCCCAGGCATTTTTCAAAATCCTGCTTTGATGTTGTATCTGCACAGGCTGTCTTTTGTCCTGTTTCTTTAAGGGACTCGGTTTCCTTTTGGCCTCTGGTTCTCCCAGAGCTGAGCCTGCTGATTTTTAAAATTCTAGGTTTTTGAGTTCCGCCGGTTGTAAGAACTCATGTAATTTGGCCCCTCCGGTTTTCAAAGCCAGATGTTGCGGGGGTTTGTCCCCGCTGTGAGTGCTTCCCAGTGTGACGGTCTGTTTCTCCCCCTTCCCACCCTCTTTGATGCGGCCTCTTTACTTTCAGTTGTAGAGGTTCTTCTGCCAGTCTTCGGGCCATTTTCTGGGTTATTTACACAGATGTGTCACCTAGTTGTATCTGTGGGTGAGGCAAGCTTCCCAGCCTCTTTCCTAAATACGGTGTTTCATTTCTGCTTAACAGAACATCTCAATTTGGACCAGTCACATTTTAAGTGCTACCTTGTCATTGGTTGCTACTGTAGACAGTACAGATCTAGGAATTTAGCTTCTCATGTAATTTTTCTATCCAGGCAGAGGATTTTCCTGGTCCCACTGCCATCCGTACATGGCTCTTTGAAAGCTATACCTAGCTGTTACTGTAAAGAAAGAAACTGGCCTTTGGGAGTTTTGTACATCAGACTTTTGTGCGTTTGGTTAGTGGGAGCCGGTACCTTTGGCCAATCAGCTTGGAGTACTCACAAGACCTAATTCTTTGTTGTGTTATGGCTACAAGCCAGAGGTCTTTTTTCTCCCCCCAAGTTCATTTGTTTTGAGAGAGAGGAGCAGGGACAGAGGGAAAGAGCGAGAATCCCAGGCGGCGTGGAGCCTGATGCTGGGCTCGAGCTCACAAACTGTGAGCCTCCCAGGCGCCCCAAGGAGCCAGATGTCTGACTGTGGTGAATCCCCAAGACAGTTCCTCTCTCTGGGAACGTGGCTGTGGCAAAATGACGTCCCTTAGGCGGCTCCCCTACCTTCCTCCACCTCTTCTGCGCTTTGAGCCCCTCCGCTCCTCGGGCTTAGCGTACTGTGCCTCTCAGTTCAGCTGATACTTTTTGGGTAGCCTTCCGGCTTCCCATCCAGCCAGTCGTGAATGGTTACAAGTTTCTCTACCGTAAATGCTATGAGTATTGACTTAATGATTTAAAACGTTACCCCCCTCCTAACTTTGGGGCCGAGTCTGAGCCTGTCGGGTGTGCTGGGTAGCGTGAGTGGCCCTCTGTCCTCCTGAACCACTGCCAGGACTTTAAAGTGACTGTGTCCCAGAGAAGGGGACGGCAAGAATGGGAACCTCAGAATCTCCTGCCAGGTGAGCCGGTCTACAGAGCCCGTCTTCTGTCCCAGCAGCGTCCTGGGGGGAAGCCCGGAGCTGAGCAGATGCGCACTGTGTGGCGGGGCCCTCCCCGGCCAGCCCCTCCCCTGGGCCATCAGGTCGCTCCCCTTTCTGAACTCTGTCGCCATCCCCTCGCCCCCTGATCTCACCACCTTCTTCTTCTACCTACTTGTCTTAACACTGTGCTTCACAGACGGCTCATTCCAAGGATCACCTGGCTGCTGCTTGAAGATACAGGCGACCAGGCCAGTCTGGGGGCCTGTCCTAATGAGACTGGGTTTAGAGGACAGCGTTTTAGAGGGTCTGCTCTCGGGCGCCTGGGGGGCTCAGTCGGTTGAGTGTCTGACTCTTGACTTCGGCTCAGGTCGTGATCTCATGGTTCGTGGGTTCGAGCCCCGCTCAGGGCTCTGCACTGACAGTGTGGAGCCTGCTTGGGATTCTCTCTCTCCCTCTTTCTCTCTGCCCTTCTCCCGTTTTCTCTCTCAAAATAAATAAACTTAAAAAAATAAAAAAAAGTGTTCTCCAGCTCACAGAGGGACCAGGAGGAAAAGGCCACAAATGCACAGCTGTCCTGACTGCTTGTGGGTCAGTGTTCTGTCACCGCCTTCCGAAACTCACCATACCCCACTTACTCGCCTGTGTGGACCGTCTGCTCCGGCCAAAGCAGGTAGCTCCTAGAGCAGGGCTAGGGTTCCTCTTTTGGAAGCGGTGGAAGATTCTTCTCCTTGTCCCCACCGGTTTCTCCCCTGCCCCCTCCAGCCACTTCTCCTCTGGGGCCTTCCCTCCTCCCACGGCTCTCTGTGCATCCTGTGTTGGGATCTGCCTGTGTGCTCCTTCTGGAGAGGAAGGCCCCCCTTTCGGTCTCCCTGCACCCACCGGCATGGAGTGCTGAGACCTGTCCAGGGCACTCATCGGTCAGCTGTGCTTGAACCAGACTGGGGAAGGCAAGCAGAAACGTCCTCACCCACCCCTTCCTCTGCCCGCAGGCACACTCGGGGATTCACCCAACCCCAGTCACGGCTCTCGGAAGAAACACGTCTGAATGGATTAGAAGATGGATGGGTAAGTGCACTGCACAAATTGCACGGATTTGATAAGCTAAGGCTACAGCAAAGCTCCTGGAGGTAATTACCAAGAGAGACTGTGTACCATAGTCACGGACCTGCGTAATGTGACAGGCAAAGGCCTTGCTCACATTCGAGACCGTTCTATGAAACTCTGTGTTTCATTTGATCACAAGCTGGCACGTAATTTGGAAACATGACCAAATATGGTCTTCGACATGCCTTTCTGTCCTTTCTCCTGGTTTCCCTCCATCTAAACCGGCAGGCAGGGGTGGGGAGAAGGAAATGAACAGATAAAAAAAAACCAAAACCCACTAACGTAGATTTTGCAGGCTGTCTCATAGTTTCTATGTGACTACTTGTGACAAGATGCACGGCTGTTGTAACCGTGGCTGTGTGACTCCAAGAGCCGCGCCCCAGGCCGCGGGTCACACCGCGGACCTCCGGGCCCGGCCGAGCATTCGCTGCCAGCTTCTCTTCCGTCTGAAAGTGCCAGTGTAAACGGACCGCAGTCCCCTTTCTCAGCTCCTGAACGGCAGCCTGCCCTCCCATTCAGCTGTCATCGAGGTGCACGGTCTGTCGGGGTCCACGCCAGGCCCCTGAACAGTTCTCTGCTGGTACGTAAACTTGTTTGAGTCACTGGGGGCAGAAACAGCAGACTCTTTCATTGCTCAAGAGGTAGGAAGAGCCTGTGCGATTACCTTGGATCTCTCAATCCAACCTTGACGTTGTCAAAGGTGAAAATTCTCCCCTTTCCCCCGATGGGGCCATAATAGTCATCAGCTGATACTCTGGGGGTACTTACTACACGCCAGGGATGGTTCTAAACATTCTATGTGGATCAACTTACTTAGTCCTTCCCCAAAGCCTTATGAAGCAGGACCATTACGCCTGTTCTACGGGCAAAGAAGCTGAGATACAGTGAGATGTAAGTCACTTCGCTAGGGCCACACGGCAAAGAATCACAGGGGCTGGGAGGCGACCCCAGGACCGTCTAGTTCTAGAACCTGTTTTGTTTTTTTTTTTTTTTTTAAACGTTGATTTATTTTGAGAGAGAGAGAGAGAGAGAGAATCCCAAGCAGGCTGCGCACTGTCAGCACAGGGCCTGACGCGGGGCTCGAACTCACACACTGAGCTGAAGTCAAGAGTCGGACGCTCAGCCGACAGCCGCCCAGGTGCCCCTAGAACCTGTACTTTTATTCAGCGCTACTTTGACCCCCATGGAAGCAACTTACCCTACGTCAGTAGAAGACACCGGGCTGGGGAGACCCTCTCCTTGCTCCTCAGAGTGTGGTCTCCTGGGGGGGCTCCGAGCCAGCCGGGCTCATTTCACCCTCGCAGCTGCATGCTTTCGGAGCCTTGCGTCTTGACCTCCCTGCAGCCCAGCCAGACCCTGGCGTCTGGAAGCCACACCTCCCCGGGCACTCAGATCGCTCTAGGACGGCTCTCCAGCGCCCCAGTCTGCGGGAGCCCCCTCTCCCCAGGAGGGTCCGGCCGTGTCCTCTGGCGGTGCCCCTTCCCACCAAGACCTCACCCACCGAACCTTTAAGCCGAGGTCCAGCTCCCTCAGCGAGCGCTGGATCTCTCTGGTGAGGATGTTCATCCGCTCACACTCCTGGAAGGCAACGACGATGTAGGGGCTGTGCTCCTCCACTCTGGCCATCAGCTCCGGCATGTTGAACTCGTCTGTCACTCGCTCCAGTATTTCTTCCAGGAGGACCTTGACCTGGCCCGTAACAGGAAACACAGGGTGAAGAAGGGGCTCTAACTCTCCAGGACTCCATTCCCCTGCGATACGGCGGTCAGGACGCCCGTCAGCGATCCCCCGCCATACTCTCGCATTGTCTACTCCCTTCAGAGTCTCCATGAGGCCGCCCTGCACTTTCTGTCCTTGGGTCCTGGAAGAAGCATCCCCATCCAACACGTGAACCTCCTCCCCAGCCCCACGCTTCCTTTGGCCACACAAGCCGTCAGCTAATTAGACCACGGGAGCCAGAACCACCAGGGTGTCTCTCCCGGAACGTTGGAAATGAAGCACTCAGATCCTGGGTTGTTTGGGGGCAAGCGCTTGGAGGCTGAGTCTGCCATTTTGAAGTAAATGAATAAGCCCAGGAGGTCTGTCCGCAGAGAAACAGAAACGGAACAAGTACAGTCACAGTAGAACATGTAGCCAGCGGAGAGGGAGGGAGGGGGCCAGAGAGCCGGGCTCCTGGCACACTGTGCTGCCCACTGTCCCCCCTCTTCTGCAACAGGTCCCCGTCTCCACCTGGGAAATCCCCTCCTCCCCACTGTTTTGGGGTACAGTCACAGAGCCCGATCCTCCCATGATCTACGTAGGCCAACCAGATTATCACTCCCAGGAGCACAAAAATTTGAATCTCTGGCCCAAGATTCAGGGGCAGAAAGTGGCTGGAACCACTTACAGAAGTGCCCTGTAAGGACCCCAGAGCCACTGGGATATCTGTCCTTCCTTCGGTCAGTTCCTTTTGACAGAGTGGGCTATTTCTTGCCCATTTCAGCAAAATTAGTCTCCGTTGCTTACAACCAAAGAGCCTCGGCTGAGTTAATACCGTTCCACTACGCATTACCCACGCGAGTGCAAGCAAGCCATCTAGGTCTCCGTCTTTTTATCTATAAAAATTTCCAAGAGTGTCTTTCTCCAC